TTGGCCACAACCCCGGTGGTTCCGGAGGCGACGGTGGCCAAACCCCCAGTGGTTCGGGAGGTGGCGGCAGTTGAGCCTCCAGTGGTCCGGGAGGTGGCGACAGTGGTTGCTCCTTCAGTGGTTCCGAGGGTGCCTGAAGATGTCACGCCTCTGGAGGTGCCTGGGGCAATGCACCCTCGGAGGTTTCTGTTTCTGTTTGTTTCTTCACTGACGCTCCCTCAGCAGTTCTTGGTTCGGCTGGGGGAGACTTTATGACTATTGGCATGCCTTAGTCTAGGAGAGGGACTCCTTACCAAAGACACAAGTTCCCTAGACCAAGGTACAAAAAGGGCCAGGCCAAGTATTAGGGTACTTGGGCCTGGAATTTTTTTTTTCTTTTTCCGTTTTTTTTTTCCCTTGGGCCTAGTTTTTTTAGGTTTTTTGAATAGGCCTTGTTTTCAGTTCTGTTTCAGTATCCCACCCACCCAACCCAGAGAGTTGGTAGGCTTTTAGACGTCCGGAGGACAGTGAGTGTGATCTGTCTGATCACACTCACCTGTCTGTAATTAGCCTCACTTGTGTCACCTGGTGCTCCCTGTGTATATATACCCCTCTCCCTCACTCAGCCCATGTTGGATCAACATTGTAGACTTTGGCAGCGGAAGCAAACCATCTTGCCTTCAGTATTTAGTGTCGGAGAACCGCAGCCTTCTTTACAACGCCCACAATATGGCTAAAGCGTCACCTGCTGTAAAACGAATGAAATTATTCGTTCAAGATTCGTTCACGACTCGTTCGTTTTACTGTTCGAGAGTCAAAGATCCGACTCACTAAAAAGAGTCGGTCTTCCCATCACTAACACTGACTGAGTAGCGTGGAGTAGCTGGGATTTACGCCACGGTCAGCCACGAAACGGTACGCGGACGGTAGCACAGAGAAGGACTTGACCTGGGTTGATGCTGTCTCCAAGTCTGCCGCACACACTCTCTCCAACCATTTCCGGAGATAAGAGGGCGCCCTGAGTCATCTGTAGTCAGTCAGTCACACAGACAGAGAGACAGGAAAGAGGATTTTTTTTCACTGCTGCAGTGATATTTTTGAACGGAAAGGGACGCATGCTTTTACTGCAGTTAGTATCTGTCTATACTCGCCCAGTGTGTGAGGTTCCGTTGCTCATTCTCGGCTGTTTCTCCTTTTTAAAATTAATACACATAGTTTTAAGTTGTAGCCGGTACAAGCAGCAGTAAAAGCACACAGAACTGTTCAGGGTACGACGGACTCGTCTGTGTGTCCGCCATGGAGAACGCTCACATGAAGAGTGTGGAAGAAGTTTACAGTTATTTCTGCGTCAACGAGAGCACGGGACTTTCACTGGACGAGGTGAAGCGACAAAGGGAGAAATGGGGCCTAAACGGTAAAACTGTACGCATTCTCTCACACAAAGACTGCTGTAAATGAGACACGTTTTAGCTCCGGAATTTCAAAGCCGGGTCATTTTATGGTGGCCGGTGTTACCTGTAGTGAAATGGCTGTCATTATTGGTGTCCTCGAGGGTTTCCCAGGTTTTAATTTACACACGTGTGAGGACAAATCTCATTAGGCACACCGAACATTCTAGAGACTCGCGAGGACACGAGGGGGGAAAAACGATTTTAGAAAAACAATATGCAATAACATTGTTAAACATGACTTGTTGACGCTCTTATTTTGACATGTGTTGACCTATTTCGACAACGTGTTATTACTTCCTGTATTAGTCCTGTTCTGATCAACATGACAGATGAAGCGGTCATCCTCACGTTAAAATAAAGAGAGCATCTGATATAAAACTCCGCTCCGTTTATTCTTCACCACGCAGCAAAGCTGCACAAGACGGATAACGTAACAAACATCCCTAAAACCTGCGTCGAAAATAAGACTGCAGGTGTGTACGTATATCGTTACGTTTAAATTGGTTAGAATTTCCAAACTTTTAATACAAGAGGCCACATTTTAAAGATAAACAATTTTAAATACTATTTTAATTATAATTTCCAAGCTAATTATTACAATTCATCGTTAAAATAACGAGATAAAATATTGTCTTTATCCTGTTTTTTTGTTTTTGTGTAGTTTTTTTTTTACAAACAAGTACGCCCTTGTTAAAGCACCCTGAAATACTAGGACTAGTGGCATCAATTGCACAAAATAGAAGTGGAATTTAGTTTATTTAGTATGCAGTCCTTTTCTGTTATAACTGACAAACGCATCATGATTTAGAGTAGACAGGACAGGTTAATTATTAGCCCGGGGACACTACTGGGGCAGTAGGTCTTTGAGGAATCCTTCAAACTGATGTATATAAACTAACACACCTTATTCCTTTGCATTTAACACTAAGGTATTCTGTGATAACTCCTACACTGCCTAAAGGTGGGGCTTTTAGGACAAGTTTGGGCTTGTTTAATGAGTCAAGGTTTCATTCATCCAAATATAAGAAACATCTTCAGACTGTTCAGAGCTGTTGTGTCTGCTCTCGTGTAACAGTGATTTAATAGGACCGAAACAGTGGAAGGTTATTGCAATTCTTTTGGATAGACCAAAAGGGTCGATCAAAATAGACCCAAGTTAGTTGTAGCTTGATGGTGTGTCATGTTCAGATTTTGGACTGAAGTGGACGCAATAGTACTAAAGGTTCAAGATATTGAACCAAGTTGATCACATATCTATGGTGAATCCTCACAGGACATGAAGAATATGACTTTAAACTGATGCTCATGCATCCATCGGCCTACATAACTATTCACACACACACACACACACACACACACACACACACACACACACACACACACACACACACACACACACACACACACACACCGACCGTGACCTCACTGCCCTCTCTCTCTCTTCCCCCTTTCTTTCTTGCATGTGTTTCCTGTTTTAATCGTGGATTGACATTCCTCTCAAAACAAACAGAGTTACCGGCTGAAGAAGGTAATTAGTATTATTACTGACATGGTTGCTGTCATACTGTTACATATTACTATTAACCAACTCCTTTCTCCACAGGGAAGTCTTTATGGGAGCTTGTCCTTGAACAGTTTGAAGATTTACTTGTTCGAATTCTTCTGTTGGAAGCATGTATATCTTTTGTAAGTATGCTTCCTCGACTGTGGATATGAGATGTTCTTGTTTAAAAATACAGGATTTATTGCCATTTTAACAGCAGGCACTTGCAAACTATCGCTTTCTCCTACAGTCACCTAGTAAAACTTGGCAGGTGGGCATCCTACCTGCTTGTGTCAGTCATGTCCATGCTAAACCAGCTGGTTAGTATTTGATTAAGCGCACCAGTGATGTATAAAGTGCCTAATCTAAAAGCAGGAGGACAACGTGTAGCTTTCGTGTACATATATTTCCTATAGCCAGAGAAAGTGTTAACACAAGGTCAGAGTGGCAGTAAGGAACGTGATTAGCCCCGTGTGATGACTGGCAGGGGGGATGGGAGGAGGTGTGTTTGTGTTCACTGCAGGGTACTGAAGTGTAAACATCTTCATTTTGTGTAACTGAGCTCAGGTGACACTTACATTAATAAGCACAGCTGAGAAGGCTATGGACCATCTGTGGAATGGTGACAACAGCAGAATTAGTGTTAAGTTGCTCGCACACAAGACATTTTGAAAGGCCGGCAATGTCTGCTATGTAATATCACCCTCTCATCATAGGCTCTGGACTTAAGACTACGCCTCTTGGTGATTGACCGTTTTTGGGTCATCTATCATCAGCATACGTCCTGAGCAGGGAGGTACCTGATTGAAGAAGTCACACAGCAGCATTGGCAGCATGGCCACCAACAAAGCTATTGAGAAGCTTGTCTTGCGTCTCATCTCTGATTGAAAGCTGTTGTTTGACCTCCACTTACTTTACAGAGGAACAAAGCTCAATTTGCTTGTTGATCTTTTCTACTACCTGCTTTCAAAGTTCGTGTTATTACGTGGTTTGAGCACAATCAATGTGGACTTGCAACATATTAGCTTACAACTTGAGAAAACGTACTCTTCAGAATCGTCCTGAATTTAAAACTGATGGCCCCTCCTGTTTAGCAGGTTTGGATGGCCACACCACATCTGAGTGGGATCCCTATTATTGCCCAACTATTCATAAACATGGCACGAAGAAAACAACAACAACAAAGAAGTTCCCGTCGCCCAGATTGACGCCACAAGGGCCCCACCCTGGAGCCAGCCCTGAGGTTGGGGTTCGCAGGCGAGAGCCTGGTAGCTGGGTCTTTGCTCACATGACCCGGCCAGGCTCAGCCTGAACAAGCGATGTGGACCGCTTCCCTGCGCCTTTGGGTCAGGGATAGATGTCTCACTGTTGTTTCGGCCTACAGGCCGAATGGCAGTGTAGAATACCCGGCCTTCTTGCAGGCACTGGGAGGGGTACTGGAAAGTGCTCCTCCCGG